AGCAGCAGTAGCAGCAACAGCAGCAATGCTAGTGGTGGCGATACTGTAGTGGTAGCACGGGCTTCAACTTGCAAGAATGCAGCTCAGAAGAAGACTTCTAGGGTCTAGATTTTTGGGGCTTAGGATTCAGGATGAAAGGCTCACCTTGGAGATCAGCAAGCGGACGTCAGATTTCGGGTCAAGACAGACAGGAAAATTAGGACATCTGTGTTTAGAGCTTTTTCTAGGGCGCAGGTTTAAGGTTTTAGATTTCTCAAGCTTGCTGGGGCCCGTGCCAATACCCTATGAAGCTTTCCATCTCTGGGACGTTGATCACCGAAAGCGTGTCAATGTGCCTGTACCTGGGGTTTCCCTTAGGCTACCTTCATGACTCTTGGGACATGTTTCTGCTGAAGACCAAGGCTGAGGGGATACTATCGGATGTTATCCATTTCCTATATTGAATATTGCACGTGTGTCGGTGAATGAAGGGTTCCGACAAGAACGGGAATATGCCCCATGACCAGACATGCAAGATTTTGTTGGCGAGGTCAGCACCAATGTCGCTGATGGCGAAGCTTTGCTAAGCAAATAGGAATGGGCTTCCGGTTCTACGTAGAGAATCTCTCTGTTGATCCCATGGCCATCTAGTTAGGCTATCAAGGGCTTCCCTCCAAAAGGAGCTGAAGCTGGATCTTCTGGACTCACAGCCCGTTTAGCGGGCGCGGCTTTAACCCAAAATCCGGAGAAGTGGCCCCGCCCAGTCAAGGCAGGCGAGATGCTGAACAAAAACAACGACTCCCACTGTCAACAGCTACAAGTAGAAGTACTATACAGAGGAACTGTGCTACTCATTCTGATTGGGAGAATATGCCAAGAACTCGCACAGTGCTTCGGATCCCAACTACAGCCCGACGCAGGCAGAAATACCATAAAACAACCCTCGACTCCAGTGCCAAGCATTTTCCTCAATCTTTCAGCAAAGGGTGGCTCCCAGTGATGCCACGGACTTGCGCACAGCCTTCAATCTTGAGCGGTTTACTAGGATCTGGCATAGTTTATTATATTCAGACTATAAAAGGATATCACAGATAGCTTCCGTGCAAGTGTAGGGCGCTTCAGAAGTTGTCTGGGGCTCGAAGGACCCCGAGCAAAACGGAATCCAGTTGTGGAAGCTTCGCTTATCTCAGCTCTGTGGTTGGAAGTGCACAGGGACTGTCTGCAGACCTTATTATTTTCATTGATACCGATGTGAAGCTTCGACGGTGGACATCGAGAAACGCCACGAAGGCGAACCGATGCGCATCCCACATGCAAAAAAAACCAACCCCAAACCCTGAATGCTTTGGCAGGTGGAGGATCCGAGGCATCTCCTGGAAATAAGACGGGCCGACTTCGTTGGGATCACAGGAAGGCCAGCGGCACCAAAGGGATGAAAGGAATTCATGCTGGTTCGATGAAGGATGCCTGCGGCTCCAATCACCTCAAGTGTCTAGGTCTCAATCACTCTCAAGCCTGTCAATCAAGACTTCTGGATTGTTTCCATATGGCTTTCGAGAACTGCAAATCAGTGCGTGAGGAGTGGAGCTTTGAAGTTACGGATTTTGAAGTTCTGACTTTGTAGAGTCTGTGGGTTGCAGTCATACATACCGTATGAACGCACCTAAACCGTAAGCCCCAAGCACACCGCTACTGACACGGCTGCACCTACTACCATTGCTGCTGCTGCTGTTGCTACTACCACGACCACTGCGAGCTACCACTGCCACCGCCACTGGGATTAGGATGACTAGGATGACTAGGACGACTGCGACGATGACCACGACGATGACGACCACGACCACGACGAGAAGACGACGACGACTGCTGCTACTGCTGTAGAACCCTCCGACAAGCCCCAAACCATCTTTGGAAGGCGGACCTGGTAAGCGGCATAGGCTTGGCGGTCGTCCAAGACGGCAGTCGCCGAGGCCAGCAGCAGCCTGCCATGCCATGCCGAGTGAAGGCAATATCGCTATGAACGAGCAGGCAATAGACTATGCCGAGGCACAAGGGACCTTCGGTTACAAAAAGGGAGTCTCTGGGTCCCGTGGCTTTAAGTTTCTATTCTGAGCATGAGGCAGACTTGGCGTGACACACAAACGGTTGACGGATCGCTTGGTGGAAGAAAGGGTATGTTGAGAGCTTCAAAGGTTCCCCAAGGTATTGCATGTAGACTTTGTGGGTGGCTGTTGCCTGAGCGGGCTTAGGTTATGTCACTGTGGACATTGGGGCATGCTCAAGTGCAGCCTTCACCATGCGATCACAGCGTCATACTGTTTTGTAGACGCCCAACTCAAGATGCCTAACTACGTACTTCAGGCCCACAACAGAAAGCATGCGGCATATCACCTTGAACAAACACTGTGTGTGTAAGGCGGCATCGAGACTACCGTTCTCGTTGCATTGGTCCAGGTGACAGAAGGAGATAACTAGCTACAGTGATAACGACTTGAAGGTGAGAGTGGTGAGGTGGTGGAAATCACGACAGAGGGAAGGCAATGATGACGGCGATGTGGCGCACATACTGCTCGTTCTGATGACGATGTTGCCGTTGTTGATGATCACAGCATGATGAACTTGCCTCCAATGCCGCTCGCCTGCAGGTACACCAGATTCCTCCCAGGCTGACTTCAGGCCCTGAGACTCTTCGCCCCAAGCCCAGACATGAAACTTTGGCATCCAACTCGACATCAGCCTAGACGACGAAATTCAAACAAGCGACAAACAAAGCTAAGCCCATGATCACTAAAAAAATACTAAACACCAACACTGAGACACCCTGTTCAGTGGTCCTGCACATTGTGCCGGTCTGGGATTCTGGCTGGCTAAAGGAATCAGGGTGTGACGTTCAGCAACGGCAAAAGGCCTCCGCTTTCAGGCGGAGGCACCTCCGCAATTCGGAAAAAAAAGCGAGCCGACTAGCCCCTGAAGCAGGCACTAGGTTTAAGATCCAGAGCAAGTGTGTGCATGCATGCATGCATGCATGCATGCATGCATGCATGCATGCATGCATGCATGCATGCATGCATGCACGCATGAATGTTAGATGGATTGATAGCGAGAGATAGACATGCAGATCAATGGATAGATCGATCGATAGATCGATCTAAGGTGTAGATCTAGATCAATTTTTCACCCTGAAGGTACCCGCTGAAGCGCATGCTTCTGCTCGGAACCGGAGACGAAAAGGCACAAGCCCTCGCAGTAAGCCCACCCCTAGAATCCGAGACTCACAGAGCGAAAAGACAACGACTGAAGCTCCCAGTGTGGCCTCACTGTGCCACAAATTACGCCACTTCTGACAACGGCACTGCCGATGCTACTACTGCTCGTCACTTACCTCCTACTACGAAAACGACGACGACTGACATTACCGCTACTCCAACTCCTAACCCTACGTACTACTACGATCACGGCTACTGCTGCTGCTGCTACTGCAACTGCTGCAACCGCTGCTACTACTACCACTTCCCTCCTCCTCCTCTTCCTCTACTTCTGCCGCTACTGCTACTACTACCACCACTATCACTACTACTACTACTACTACTACTACTACTAAGTACTACTAAGTACTACTAAGTACTACTAAGTACTACTAAGTACTGCCAAGTACTGCCAAGTACTGCCAAGTACTACTAAGTACTACTAAGTACTACTAAGTACTACTAAGTACTACTAAGTACTACTAAGTACTACTAAGTACTACTAAGTACTACTAAGTACTACTAAGTACTACTAAGTACTCCTAAGTACTACTAAGTACTCCTAAGTACTACCAAGTACTCCTAAGTACGCCTAAGTACTACTAAGTACTGATAGGTACTACTAAGTACTACTAAGTACTACTACTACTACTACTACTACTACTACTACTACTCCTACTACTCCTAGTACTCCCACTACTACTACTACTACTACTACTACTCCTGCTACTGCTGCTACTGCTACTACTGCTACTACTGCTACTACTGCTGCTACTACTGCTACCACTACCACTCTACGACTACTACAACCACCACATCCACAACCACAGCCACTATCATTACCACTACCACTACGACGACGACGACAACGACTACTACTACTACTACTACGACGACGACGACTATGACTACGACTACTTCCACGACGACTGCTGCTGCTGATGCCGCTACTATTGCGACGATGACGACTGCGACGACGACGACCGCCACCTAGGGCTAGTGAGCACTAGTGCTTCTGCTGTTGCTACTGTAACACTGCCACCACACCACTACGAGTACCACTGCCACCATCACTATGACGACGACTGCTCCTACTATGTCCTCCACCGCCACAGCTGTCACTACCACTACTGCTGCCACCATCACTCCCACCACCGCTGCACTGTGTTCTTGATGATGAAGCATGGCAACCTTGTAGCATATAGCAGCTCGGGTGATTTGCTCGAAATTTGGGTGCTCCTTCTGCTGGGCCTTTATAGTAAACTCTTCCTCAGCTGGGGATTGTCATGTAGAAAAACCTGCTAACATGCACAAACCTGTCCTCGGCGGTCAACTCCAACACTTCCACCAGAATGCTGCCGCAAACCTGCATTGCAAGAGGCTCGAGCTGCCGGGCACAGTCTTCAACAGTCTTCAAACCTCAAGGCTCTCAGTTTAGTGCTTAGGCACACTTAGCTCTTTGGACTGCTCGGAGTCCCTACATCGGATAAACTAGTTGATAGTGGAGCGTTGAAGCTGGCTCTACGTTAAGCTCTGTCTCCCATTAGGCTGCCAAAGTGTGCTACTTAAAGAAACACCCCAACACCCTAAAGTAAAGGCTAGAGAACAGCGACTTCAAAGCCGAATGTCCCGAACCCGACATCCGAAGCCATGAATGGTAAACTGCTTAATCCTGGTCCCAGACACTTCGCATTCAACACTTCGCCTTGAACCAAAATAGCAGCACGTGGAAGCTCAACATTTTCTTCTGACAAGACGCACTCAGTATGTTTTGATAATTTTATATGTGAGCTGTCTCTGTGTGTGTGTTTTAGCAGTGTCTTCGCATGGTACGAGGAGGCTACATGAAACACCCGTGCACCACTCTAATGCATTTAGCCCTAAACATGGCTTCAAAACCTTAGCCTGACTGAACCCTGCAACCTGAACCGGCCTCGCTTATGGTCTTCAGCACTTTGGCCGACTCCAGCACAACCTCCCCAGGCCAACGCAATTCCGGAGTGGACTGCCTTCCTTTTGGCTTCGTTGGTTCGGCCTTCAGCCTTCAAGGTCGCTGAACCCGTGGTCAAGTTGCATCTGACTATCGGGTTCCAGAGTATCAGGCTCTGGTGTCCTTCTTGCGCTTCCTGTCTCTTTCCAGGGATTCAACAGCGATGGCAATGAGCTCTTTGATCGGACTCCGTAACTTCTGTGTGTGATTGTGTGTGCTGGAAATGTCAGCCAAACTGGCAAAGCGCCAGCGACAATCGGAAGTAACAGAGCAGAACACAACATGAGTAAAACCTGTTGAAATCCACTCCCCTGTACCGGAATGTTACCTTAATAGTTGCTGCTTGAATGCTGTCGAGCCTCACAGTAAACTAACAAGGCTGAGTTAAACACGACTTCCTGCGCAGAGGCGCAAAGTGCGAAGAGGGCGCCACGACTACACATGCGGGACGTGCTCTAAATGTCTAGTCTCTGAGAGCTTGTAGACTCGCGGACGCATCTCGCCTAAGGGACCAATCGAGAATCTGCCCTATCGAAGCAGTCGAACAAACATATCATGCAGAATGTACATGCCGGTCATTCGCTCCAGGAAACAGAATCTCGAGCAGCAAGAGACCCGAAGGCAGAAACCGACCTCAATCTCTTTAGAGTCAAGTCCTAAATTTCCAGCATACCAACTCCAAGTAGCGGAAATCTAAATGAAAAATAAACCGAGGGCCCGTAGTAGACTGTCAACCAAGAAACGTCGTTTGCCTTGCCAACGCTAGTCCCCAAACCTGAGGAAACAAAACCTTAAACTCGGGCTTCCGCTGTCCGCTTGATTCGCAAATCATGGCAGAAAAGGCATGGGTACCTGGATCTGCAGAAGTTTAGAACTTCTAGGCTTCAATGGGGCTTTAGTGGATTGAGGCGTTAGGAGATATGGGGCTTTGCGATCTTAGGGCATGGGCTTGTAGGTTTGGGTTCCGGGTGCTGCACAAGGGACAACATTGGTGCTCGACAGGGTTGCCCGTTATTGTACTGACGCAAATCGTCAGAACATCACACACATGAGGCCAAGCTACAGTAACCCGAGTTGCAGGAGCTTTCCATGGCTTAAGCGCTTTGAGGATCTTTGCTTTTAAATATTCAGTGTAGCAATGATATCTTGAATATGGCGCGGTCATCAACGCAGCGTATTCGACTCGCTGGGCTTCCGACATGATCGTGGGCACAGTCTCACCGAGGAGGCTCCTGGACAAACGGGCTCAAGAGTCTTTACGGCAATGTCCCCTCCCCCTTGGCCGCGCGGCTCCTCCTTGAACCGCCACTGAAGGAGGAACTCAGAAGGGATGGGCTGCACATTTCGAACCGAGTTTGCCTTTCGGCTCCGACCCTGACTGATGTCCGGCTTTCAAGCTTCTGTCGGATGGAGACCATCCGGGTGACGGCGAAGGTGATGATGATGCCGATCCTCTAGCTCTTAACACCGTCGATCTGAAGACAGATAGTCCTCTGCTGCACGCCAGCATGAATCATGGCTAGCACCTGCGGACCGGGCGCAACTATAGCGGATCCGCTTCGTGCAACTTGAGGTCGGTAGGCTTGGTGTCTGTGGGAAGTTGCTGGTTTTTGGAATGCAGGTTTGCCTCGTGGGGAACTGGAGGTTGAAGACTGATGCAAAGTCTGGGCAGGCAAATAATGGGTTGGAGCCTTCTGAGACTCTTACCCTCGCTAAAGCAAGGCCAACAGGATGATAACAATGCCGTCAGTACGAGGAACATTGCTTACAAAGCATTCCAGGCAGAGGAAAATGTCACAAGTACAACTCTGTTGCCGTGCGCGTTCGTCAGCTCCGGGGTTTGTGGATGTTATGGCTGCAGTACTTGGAGGGGGTGGGGCGCGTCAGGTGACCCTTGCAGAGCTTGTCGGATGATGTGTCAGGAAGCCTTCTATACACCTTCATCTGAGATCCTTGGCTGGGTCAAGGGTTCAGCATCACAGAAGGATCGCAGCGACAAAAATCCAGACCAGGATGCTGGGGCAGAATTGGGAAAATGATGCACCACGCGTTCATATGGACCAATCGCGAAAGAAATAGTTTGCTCCGCATCTGGGCTCTTATGTACGCTCACAGCCCAAGGTCTTGGCATACACCCACACACTCACAGACACACGTCGATGCAAACATCCTAAAGCCGCTACAGCCTACAGACAGACTACCTTACATCTTAGACCTTGGCAACAAAGAAGGATGGGAGCCATTGTATGCACAAGAAGCCCGAAGCCTACATTTACAACCTTTTCTGAGCCCTGGAACCCGAAAGCCTAAACCCCGAGAGCCTTTTTGGCTTTCAAGGGTTTGGACATCCCAAGCCTCCAGGTCGAAGCAAACGGCTTCCGAGACCTGCGTAGAAGCTCGGGGTAGTTAGGGCTTTAGCTATAGGGGGTTTAGGGGGTTTAGGGTTAGGGCGTTTAGTGCTTGGAGGCTTCGGGGTTTCGCGCTTATGGGGCTTTTAGGGTGTAGTGTAGGGCGTTGGATTGAAGTTCGAGTTTGAATGATAGGCCTTCTCAAGGGCTCTACAGCTCTGCCTGGGGAGGATGATGCCTGAAAGAGACCATGATTGAATCCCCGCGGATCGGGATGAAGACTTGGAAGATTTTAGATGGTGGGTTCAAGGCGTAGGGCTTCGGGTTCAGGAGAGTTCAGGAATGGGGCTGAGAGCTCAGGGCTGAAGCTGACGCAAGATTTGTAATAGTTTGACTGTGCAGTTGCCATTTCAGGCGTCAGCAACTCCGGTGCAAAAGCCGTGCTATCCGAAACTGCAGATATACGACGACACCCTGCCTCACATGTGTCGTAATCCTACAGAGCTTTCGGGTACCGGGATCTGCGCTTCGGGGGCTTAGCCCTTTGACCAACGCCTTGGTGGGTACTTTCGAGCCCCGGATATAGTCCTGCGACGTATGGCTCTGAATTGTTTGTCACTTCTGGTGAATCTCGCACTACCTTCACTCCTTCAAGCAGAATGCCCCCCAAAACCTGAATCCCTACCCCATTGACCCGAACCGTCAAAATCCGAAGATCTCGAGCACAAATGTTGGGGCCTTTGGTTCGGGCATCGCTGCGCAAGACCAGCCTTGGGGATCTCGACTCGGGCTTAGCGAAATTTGGTTTGGTTTATAGTGTTCAAGGTTTGGGAATGTAGGCTTCAGCTATCTTGGTTTGGGGCTTGTCATTTAAGGACAAGCTGACCCGCTTCAAGCCACATCCCCAACGACAGGCAGCGAACAAAGAACCTGCATCAGGAGCAGGAGCAGGAGGAGTAGTAGGAGTAGCAGTAGCAGTAGCAGTAGCAGTAGCAGTAGCAGTAGCAGTAGCAGTAGTAGTAGTAGTAGTAGCAGCAGGAGTAGTAGTAGTAGTAGTAGTAGTAGTGGTGAGAATGGCAAGCAGCAGGAACACTTGCCATGAACTGATGCTCATACAATCTGCCAGGGGCTGTCAGCATCGTTTGTGATAGGTACTAACATCACCGGAATAGTTTAAGACTTTTTCGTTGCAGAGGCTCTTAGTATTCGGGTGTCAGGCCGTCGGCCTCTCATTGCAGGCTCGTTTGGGCGTCAGGACAGAAAATAGCACCGGCAAGCTCTCAACAAGAAACATGTTTTCCTTCTTCTGCTGCTGGGAAAACCCCGTGCAATTCTGATATCCTTGTCAGTGCGACTATACCCTGAGGCACAAGCAACATAGTTACCCTCGATGCTGCTATCTGCGATGTTGGCAAGCAAGGAGAACAACCAGAAAGGCTAGCACTGCCACGTCTGCTTTCTGCACTGGCCTACGTCTTGCGGCCAGGGTGCATAGCTGTAGCCAGTCTTCGCGCCGTGGAGCTGGAGGCCTTCACACAGACTCTAGAAAGGATGCTGCAATGTATCCTGACTTGGGCAACATCTCTGGAAACAACCCTCGGCGGACATTTGCGCAAAGCACCCAAAGGTTTTGGATCACATCATAAGGTGCAGGACTGCTTGGATTGATAGAAACATGCAGTTGGTTTCGAAGGTCTCGCAACGGGGAACCCGAACTTCCATCACCTTCTACCGACATAACATGACATAACGTACAGGATCCGTCACGTATATTTTCAATTTCTCCTTCCCTCTTCCGCTCCCTCTCCCGCTCTCTCCACTCGTGTCAACTATTCGGAGCGCCTAGGGGCACCAGCGCCAGCGGCCTGGGCAACATGGAATGATCCAAGATAGTTTCTAAATTTTGGACGCATGATGTATTTTATACAGACAGTGTTTCCCTACTGCAACTGCATTCGCAAGATCGCGAGACTCGGGGCATCTGCTGTTCAAAGGCTTTTCTGCTTGGGATATCAAGAGTCAGGAGTTTCCGCCGAGATGCAGAAGGAAGGCTCCCCAGGCATCGAAGCCGATGGCTTCGAAGTGTCGGCGTTGATTATGGGGTGTGGGGGCTAGTTTGGCACATGGCCTGGTGAGATGAAGGATCCGAGAGTCTCGAGTTGCAGGTTCCTTTGGGATCTGCTGTGCACGCTAATGCATAAGTGCATCCTGCGCAACGGTTTCAATGATGTCTGCCATGAAGCAAGCAGAACAAGCTAAATCGGCTCAGCAGCCGGAAAGCAGGGAGTGAACTCCGGCCGCGGCACCAGCACCTGGAACCGACAAATTCCAAGGAGGTCCAGACATCTTGAACTTCGGTCAAGCGCTCACGATATTCACCGGTACTGATGCTACGGAAACTACTCAGCCCTGAACCCCACGAAGCTTGCAACCAAAACCGTCAAACTCTTTGGACCTCAAGGCAGCTCTGTCTTGTTGGCGAAGCTGCACCTCTCGCTGTTCGGGCTCTTTGGGCTCACGGCTAAATTAAGCTTCAAGGCTCACGGTTTAGGGAGGGCATGCATAGGGAACAGCCAACGTCTAAGAGCAATTAAGCTCTTCACACACTGGCGATATACAGGTACTTACCACCTTAAC